AGTAAGACCCACAATCCAGCAAAGCACTTGAGTAAATAGGAGTAAAGTACGTGTCAAAGGCTTTTCTGAACTGGACATAACCAAAGATGCAAGTCTCCCATATCAACAGCAGCAGTTCAGGTTTCTAATCCTCTCTCTGATCCTGATTACCCGATTTTTACTTCAGCACATCCCCTCCGCCTGCCCAGCCTTAAGACACAGGCGCCCACCTTTAAAGTATGGGATTCATACAGAATTTGTGTGCTGTTATTTCTAAAGGAGCTGGAGGATAAAAAGCTCACAGGGTTAAGTGTTATTACTTTCAGTGGAAAGCTGGGCCCCATCTCCCAGAAAGTTCCAGCTACGCTGGGCAGCTCCATAAAATGAAAGCAGCTGGCTTTACTGGCTGGCTAACACCCTTGCTCCATTGGTACAAAGCAGCCAAAAGCTGCAAAGGAATCCGACCTGTTACTAACTTTTTATGTAGATTGCAGTACCTGCACAAGGTTGTCCTCAAAACAACCTCTGAGTCCAATCCATACTTGAAATGCAGAACAAAAAGAGAAAATTCAGTCCCTCCTTCTCATGTTATACAGAGCAATGGATCTGTTTGTGCCTTGATGAGCGTTTTTTTCCATTCTTGGAGCATGGAGGGTGGGGGACAGATACTGCCAAGAGGTGGCAGAGACTTTTAAAGAAACTTTGCAGGGAAATCTGCTGCCAAGTCAGCCTGCTGTTTCCAGATCAGATGCAGAGATGCCTGCATTTGCAGAGCTGAGTTAAGAGTGAGGATTTGCTGCTACCTTGCATTTACAGAAACAAGGCTCTGCCTTGCAGGGCAGAACAAAAAGGAGGTTTGTCTAGTGATGCTTGAGTTTGGACTGGGGAACATGCAGGGCTCCCTCCTTCTGGATTACATCACCACTGAAGGTGAAAGCCAGCAAGGCCATTAGCATGCGAAACACAACCACGGAGCTGTGCTGCAGTGTGTGCCCTTTCTCACTCCTTTCTGCGCACCAAATTGTCTTGTTCCCCAAGGACAGCGCTGGTACACAGGCAAAGATACTTAATAGTGCATAGGGCGAGCACCAAGCAAAAAAGTGACTTGAAGCTTTGGGAATAATAGAATATTAAGCAACGTAGAGCAGGGAATTTCTCCTTCTTGTCCTTACTCTCTCCCCATCAAAGAGCTGCTGCCAAAGACTCAGCTACTTACATGCTTGTTCAGCTCTTAGCAGCATGACCAGATCTCCTACAACAACCAGTAGGAACATATTTTGAAATGATAAACTGAACAACAAACAGAAGCTGCAGACTAGAAGCCTGTAGCAACATGGTGCATTCAACTGCTAGGAACCAGGAGCACTTCCCAGTTCCCTTCCCAGTTCCCCTCGTGTGAGCAAGAGGAATCTGACTGCCATGGATGCAGTGCCTGGACCAGAAGGGAGCCAGGGCCTATTTCAGTAAGGCCTCCAGTCTGAACGACTAATGTCCCTGCTGTGGAGGCACCTGCCACCCTGCGGGTACATCCCAGGGTGGCCAAAGGCACACGCTGCTGTCTCTTGATACCATAATTACCAGAGAAACACACACACACACACAGAGCAACAAGGAATAATCAGCCACTGCACACTACAGTAATGGTCTGTCTTTGTCATATGGAGGATGCGTTTGCTCTGCTCTACTCCCAAGTACTACATGAAGAAAAAAATCCATAGCAAAATTATTAGAGATTTGGGATAAGCATGGCGGCTTGCGTTCAGCACATTAGATCAGTCACTCCATGAAAGGTAGGCGTATTGCCCAAATGCCCTCTAAGTCTGCAGCACAAGCATCTGAAGATCAAGAAGATAAGTTTCTCCTGCTACATTAAATTCAGCTAAGTCAGCTGTGGGTTAAGTCTCACTTACAGACAACACTACTGAACAACAAGCAGGCAATGAGCCAGTTCCTATGAACTGAAACGAGGACTAGCATATTACCAGTAAAAACGTAGTGTTCTCTTACTGAAAAGGGAATAGCCATAAGCCCTGGGAAACAAGATCCCTGCCCTGTGACACCTTGTCCCATATCATGTTACTGCTACATATATTTCTGCTCTTTTAAACCCTGAGCAGCCATGGAGCAGGGGCTAACCTAAATGGCTCTTACCCACAGAGACATCCCAACTCCTGGAATGCATCTGGTGCCTCTGTATGGCTGGAAACAAGCAGGCATAACAGTTAGAGCAATGCAGGGACTAAAATAGACCTCAAATTCATCTCATCTCATTTATAACAATGCAAAGTGGGAGTAACTTCACTGGCTTTAATAGGTCCCTCCAGGTTTCTGTTCCCTTGTATGCTGTATGACCACAACAAATGTAGAATGGGAGGATGTTTTCTGGGTCTTTCTGCTCCCTACATCTTCTTTCCTCTTGTTGATCTGACTTACCCAGACTGTAAGAACCCTGTTACAGTATCAGACCTTTCCCTATTTAACATACTGAGGGACTGAAGCAGGTTGTTCAAATTAGCTGGAAAAGAGTGATACAACACACCCCCAGCCCAGCAGAAGTCAGCAGTCCTCTCTCCACGCAGAACTACAGAGATAGACGATCCCTTCCAGCTCTAAGTCAATCCCTTGCCAAAAGCAAGATATTTAAACTTTTCTCTAAACTTTTCCCCTCTCTTAAAAAGCTTCTAGCAATGCAGAATGACAGCCTCCTATGACAGTTTAATCCAGTGGTTTAATTCCATTGATTTGAAAGTTTTCTTTAATATCCAACCTACATCTCCCTTGTCACAACTTGAGATAATTATTCTCTGTTCTATTTAGCTAATTAGTCCTTGTCCAGCTGACACAGAGAACAGTTTATTCCCTTCCCCTCTCAAGCAGTGTTGAAGAGCCTAAAGTCCTTTGCTGAGACATATAAGCAAGTATAACAAAGACAGCTAACTGACACCGTACCCAGGCTGAGGGTACCCTGATGGACGGGAAGTTTGCATTACAACACAAGAATAAAGGAACCTGATAGCAAAGCCAATAGAGCTGGTTTAGAAACTGCATTTGTTGTGGGCAAGCTTCGCCAACTCTGGTGTCTGCCTAGAAATGATGAGCCTCCATAATGTTCTGACAGATCCCATAAATCAATAACCTAAGAGTTAACATAACTCAGTAATCAATAACATAAGAGAGGCAGAATCATCTCTCAGCTTGCAGTTTAACGACACTTCCTTTGGAGAGCGAAGACCCTGCCTGTGGTCTCATTTGCTTTATTAATTCAGCTACTTTATTTAAAAACAACAACACAATCTGCTTTCGTTTTTAAATGACATCAAAGGTATATTGATGTCTACTGGTGTATGGCTTGTACCATGCGACATAAGCAGTACATCCTCAAGCCAAGTCAAACCTGTATAAATCCACAGGTCTCATGCTCTGCTGATTTAAGAAGTCACATGCTTATATACTGGCTGTGAACTGCATATTGTAGCAAAACTGGCAAAACGGGCCAAAAGGATTAAACATCAACATAGGGCTGGGGCAAACACCTGGGGCAGTAACCTCTAATGTTGCCCCAGCACTCACTCCGGAGTGGCTGAGAGACTGAAGAGTTCGGCAAAGGCTTGGCAGGAGACCGAACACAATCAGGCTGTGGGCTTTTACTTGATTTCAGGACCTTCTCAGATCTCCCACTTTCTCTTTTCTCACTAGTGTTCATATCTGATTTACCATTTGCTCTCCCAGGAGAGATGCCAGCTGCAGGCACTTTCTTAGCTACTTCTCCATCCCTCACTGCACACTGATCCCTAGACAGGGAAGAGCTGCTAAGCCTAAGGCTGCAGCTACAGCAACTCACATCTAACCCCAACAAGGACACCCTGAAAAGGAAAAAGCTGCTCTTTGTTTCAAGGGAAAATCCTAAGCTGGTCAGAGGTCTGTAAGAGACAGTGACTCACTAAATCTCCTCTATTTCTATTTCCTTTATCATAAAAGTCAGGAGGAGGGCTGGACCTGTTTGCCCAGCAGCTACTCAGCACAGCGTGGCTTTATTCGTGCTTTAAACCTGTGACCTTCCACAACCCAAATGACAGAAAGTGAAAAGTCTGTGCCGCCGAGGCTGGCAATGCCAGCAGGAAGGCTGTGGCCAAAGTGGAAAGAGACATTAAAAAGTTTTTATATGAAATCCAATTAAATAGCTTGACAAATGTGTTGCCCCAGAAAAACTTCACAGACCCAGGTTCTATTCCAAATTTAGCACCCTGCCTATCAGGCCCAGGGACAAAGCCCTCCTACTGCATCAACCTTCCCATCTGTAAAGTAAGACTAATGCTACTAATTGCTTTTAATAGATAATTTCAGATTTAGTAACAGAAGACATAAATTAAGAGCTGGTTGCTATTGCTGTTAAAAGTAGCACTTTGGAAATCCACACTTATTGCCTCAATATTACATGCATGGCTAAAGACAAGGCTCTATTTAGTGATTTTTGGAAACCAAGGGCTAAGTTTGTGCACCACTCCCAATATAGGAGATTCCATTGAAAATTTCTGTTTTCTGTTTAATTTTAAGCTACAGGTGATATCAGCCGAGTTACTAAGCTCTTCAGCTGCTGTTCTCAAAACCTATCTTGTCACTCTACTGCCTCTGCTGAAGCTGTGTAGGTGGTAGTGAGGGTAACATTGGAGTTTGGATTTGAACTGGAATTGTCAACCTGCGCGCTGGTAGCAGAAAGCTGGGACTGGAGTCAGCTCATTTATTCCTTGCTTTGTTGATTCTGGAGCAACTGAATGACCAGAGAACTGTGAGCACACTTTGGTGGTTTGGTGGTTAATGAGAGAGGCTAACAGGCTCTGCTGTCACAAAATCAGGCTCCCCAGAAGGGGCTGCCATTCTGCAGCAGCCTCCCTGGGTCCTAGCACTAGCACTGTCCTAGACACGTGCTCTAACCTTACACTCATCTCCCTCAGCAACGCTGTCACATCAGAACCCCTCACCAGCATCGCATGGACTCTGTAATCTGCTGTCTGGGTACAAACCTTCAACAAAGTCAGAGGCTGTGTACACCCGCTGCTTTGCATTGCTGTCCGCCTCTGGATTGTTCAAACTCCCAACAGCTAACTCGATCACCTCTATCAACTCATCTCGCTTGTCCTTCCTGACAGGTTTCTCTTCTGGGTGGCGTGTCAGCCCTGTCTCCAGTTGGTACACCTTCTGCAGGGTAAAGCTCTCAAAGGGCACAGCTGCGTATTCTGTGGACAGCTTAACGCCACTGTGCACCTCTGCTTTGTCTATTTGGGAACGGAGGAAAGCCAGCAAGTTAGCCTGGACCTTCGCTGGATTGCTGTGGTCAAGCTGAATATTCAACGAATCCGGGAACTGGTCCTGCGCGTTCTTGAGCTGCTCGTTTCTGCCCTGGAGCTCAGCCTTCAGCTGGGCGATTTGTTTTTTCAAGCTGATGATGTAGTTGCGGTGCTGCTCTTCTCGTTCTTGCAGAATAGCTTCATACCCCTCCTTGCCAGTCGGACTGTGGACCCTAGGCAAGGCAAGCTGCTCGTCATCACCCTTGGGTGTGCAAGCCAACATATAAACAATAGACACAGAGCAGCAGGCCACCACCAGCAGACCTACGAGCCGGGGAAGAAATACAATAAATCCTCGTCGGAGCATCATCTCTCAAAAAGCAGAGGGTAACCCCACACCTACAACAGTTCTTACATCCATGCAGTGCCACAGAGGCCCCTGGTTTTGGAGTACTCTTACTTAGATGCATGTATGTACAGGAACTGGCTTGTCAGCTCTCTTAAAACACGTGCTCTGCTTGTATATTGAGCTCTCTCTGGTGTTCACCCAGCAGGACCAAAAGCCAAGCTACAGTGCAGATGGGACACCTGCTGATCCTCATGGCAACAACCACACTGCTGCAGTTTGATCAGCTGGTGGCTGATGGAGCCTGAAGACCTGAAAAACAAAAGACAAGGACAGTCATTCAGGCATGCTGGAATTCACTCCAGACCCTTGAGAGCATTCCAGAAATTTACTGTCATTTGTCAACTGCTCTGGTAGATCTCAGAGCTGTGAAGTGCTTGGTGCTTTGGTAAGACCAAAAAGGTACTAAGACCCTTAGGCAGGAAATCCTGTACTCACATGCTTAGCTTTAACAACGTGATTAGGCCCATTGCCAATGAAAATCTAGTCCAGGCCTCACTCAAGGTCTGCCATGCTTTAGAAATATTAGAAAGTTACCAGCAGTTACTTTCTGCTCAGATGTTAAGCTATTCAGAACACGTGAGCAATGCCAGCACTCCAAGAGTCCTCAAATCATGCAGCACTTGAATTTTAAAGGCAGCCAGTCCCTACCACATACATGTCAACTTTCATGCAAGTTTTTCCAAAACACCAGGTGGCAAATGTAGTCCTGTTAGAACACATGAAGCCTAATCCTGAGTAGCAAATTGAAAACCAAGAAACTAGAAACTGTTATCAAGGCCAATCTTTATGACTAAAATTCAGTTTGACATATCCCACTGGATGCTCCCATTAGGAAGAAACACTTAGGGGTAGGATTTTGCAATAGCATTCAGACCAAGTCTTCCTCAAAATCAGGGGAAACTTTGTTTCCATCTAGGAGGCTTTGATCACTGCACTCTATCTTATCATTTTAAGACCCTATTCTGTCTCTGATAACGTTACACCAAGCCTTGCACCAACGCCTAGTACTACTGTGTCTTCCCCAGATGCCCAGGAATGAAGACCACATAGAAGGTTTAGGGAAAACTGGCTTAGCCATTTTGAAAGATAAAGGAAGTTAAAACAACTGTGAACATTATCATTTTTAGTAAGACTTCCTTTGAGTGTAGTTAAAAACAGGAAAGAAAAATTAGATGACTGAACATCAATATCAATCTAGCTAAAAGCTACGTTAAAACAATTATGCTGAGAACGTTACCAGTGGAACTTTCAAAATCACTCAGTTTTGGCCCAAATCCACATCTACGAAAGGAACTTTATCATTTATTTGCTTGACAGTAGACTTAGGCTAAGGCTGAGTAACATCCTAGATTCCACTATGGCATTGCATTGTTAGAATCAAGCAGAAGGAAAACTAACCCCTTTACTCTTCCCTTTGGATGCATACTTGACATTATGACACAGGTTTTGACAACAGAGATTTGTAGCCTTGTTAGTCATACATCCTTTCTGGTGGACCCTTAGGGAAAAACAGTTTATCTAAGAAAGCACATGCATCTCGGAGTTATGCCTAGGCCTTGAGCCAGCCTTTTGTAATCTGTGATGCTTCTTGTGGACTTCTACGTGATTTTTTCCCCTGATGACACTGCTGGGCTGTTACTCTATAGGCAGCAATTATCCAGTGATATTCCTGAACTTTTAACAGTTTTCCATATTTTATCAGTCTGCAGAGGATGAATTGAAGGAGCTAGAGAGAGCTATGAAAATACAACTATATTTTTCTCCAAGTAATGCTGAATAGCTATTATAGTATTTATAGGATTCCCCAGAAAACGTCAGTGTTTTCAAAGGGAGAATTGTTGACATAGAAGAAAATATTCAAGCAGCAGGAAAAACGAAAGGATGGAGTTTGCGTCCTTACCTTTTTTCAGTGATCTCTTTGGAACATCTTGGCCAGCTACAGCTACTTCTCGGCTTGCCACAATCATCTCTTGTTTATCTTCCTTCTTATGTCCTTCCCAGAAAACGCACGCGCTATAAAAAGCACCGTCAACCTCAGAACACCTCTTCATTGCTTTCACATTTGCCAGCTGCCTTCATCTTCAGTCTGTCTCCTGCATGGTGAAAGGCTGTAGTGGAGACGCTTCCTATGGATGCACTATAAAAGTTGGCCTCCTGCAACGTAAAGGAGCTTGTCAAAGCAGGGAAATTAATCTGGGCATTTCTAACTCTACAACAGATCTGGCTAGAGGACTGCAAGAAGGTAGTGTGCAGTGAGACAGGGTCAGGAAGTAGTAAGATGTACTACATAAAACACTGCTGTGTTTGTATGCTTCACTTCACACAATTAGTCCATTGACTGCATTGGCAGAAGCCGAACATCAGTGAAAGGATTAGTTGTGCTCACACAGTATAAACTGAAATTACGTCTCAATGGCTTAGATAAACACGTAATTTCATTTCTATAAGCAGCATCAGATTTGGGCTTTGGGTAAAGAGCTCTTCCAATGTTGACCTTAAAATATGTGTGTGTATACATAGCTATGTCTGCTTGAACATAGCGGCCTCTGTTTAGGGTAACTCTTTTTCCTATCTAGTTTTCTGGTTTCTAATCTCAGCCCTCAAAGAGCCATCTTTAAACACACTTTGGAATAGTAAATTGACTGAGTCACCTTGTCCTTTGAACCCACATACTGATAAAAAGAAATTGAGGTCATGAGGACTTCTACCTTCTCTGTGGAGATTTTACCCTCATGACTGGAGGCATCCTGACAAACAAGCACTCACTGCTTGTCCTCTAGCGCCAGATCTGTCATATTAAATTGGCCTGGTGGCCTTTGTGGCATTGCCTTATAGACGGTGATTCACTTCACCCTTAAGTAGACAGATGTTACTGTACTAGCACCCCATGGGCATGCTTGTGAAAGCAGTCCCTACCCATGGCAGTGCTAAAAAAAAAATTAAGTCAACACTGAAGGTGGTCATGGCTATGGCATCTCAGCTGCACTAACAGCACCAAAAAATTAGGGATGGTGACTCTTCCTAACAACCATTCTTTTGATTTCACCAGACCTACACAGTTTCACACCAATTGAGAGCCTGAGATGAAGGGGAGACAAACTGAAATGTCAGTTTTTTTCCAGGAACTGACAAAAACGCCTCTGTATTTTACAGCAGTCAGCTGCATTAAGTAGTATTACTCTGTTTGCAAAGAGGAGCCTTAACGAATACACAGTGGTCAGTCTGATAGCCAAGGAAAAGAACGTGAATTCCAAAAAGCCTCTGTTCGCAAAAACATCTTCAAACTCAGTCCGACCTGCTAGCCCAGCCAGAGGTCAACCCAGCTCACAGAGGTGCTTTTCATATGCTTTCAAGAAGCCAAGGCCAAGAAATGATCTAAAGAAAGAGCCAGGTTCTGCCAGCACTACAAGTACTGTGTAAACTGCGCCGCCATCAACAGCTCTGCCACAGGCAGGGAGCCTTTGCACAGTGGAGTGCACGCACCAAGCCATAAGGAGTGGCAAAATATAGAGAGTTGCTTGGTTTAAAATTTTCGATGGTATGCTCCCACTGCTATTACTCACCAGCATCTGGAGTTTTATCAAACTGTAAGGCTACAGGAAATTTATGTCCACACATAACAGACAACGTATTTCAAGCCTAAATTTTGCCTCCCAAAAACCAAGCTGAGAACTGGCGCTGAAGACAGGGAGTCAAATATATATGCATACACACACACACATAAATATATACACACAAACACACACATATGTGTGTGTGTGTGTGTGTGTATATATATATATACACACATGTATACACACACATGTATATGTAAATATATGTATCTCCCCTACTGAGCTCTGCTCGCTGCTTTATGTTGAGGACAGAAATGGGTAGCAGAAGAACGGTCACAACTGCAGAGCCAGAGGACTCTCAAGGCATATGGCATGGGCAATGCCAAACAGCTGAACGTTTTCACGTACTTTCTACCACAGCTTCCTATTGCTGGTGTAACTGAGACTGACAACTACCATTTTAGCTCAAAATCCCTTTTGAAACTTTTTGAAATCCACTTATTTTTAAGAAGGTAGTGAATGGCAGAAGCTGCAATTAGTCTTCATGTAGGTGTTTGAAAGATCTGCACTGATTAGCAGCACACGTCACAGTGAGATTTCACTAGAACCATATTAATCTCCAAAATGAGCTGTGGGAAGGATTAAATGGATGCTTCAACCACACTTTAAGGGCCTTACAAAAAGAAAAAGACACATACTGTAGTCACTTGGCATTTGGCTTGAACTTTTTAAGTGTAAAGACTATGCATAACACTGCAGGTAAATTAGTCTGTTTTAAATGTTAAGAGCAAGATTCTGGTCCTTCCTCACAGCAGATAGAAATTCACGTCACTTGTCACAATAGGACACACCACAGGGATTAAAATCTCATCTCACAAGCGTTGAAGATGCGTGTGCAGAGAACTTGAAAAAATTAGCTCTCTTCTCAATGCCAGAGCATGATCTCTCACTGATTCTCAGCCCAGAGAAGCCCTATCTTTTTCATCTGTCCAGGTTTAAGAAGTTGAACAAAAGATTGAAGGACGAAAAGAACTTGTCTGACAAACTGTGTGGATGCACCTTCATACCCTTCCTGTATCACCCCTTGTTATCATCATCCTGATGTTCCCTCTTGGGTTGACATTCACAAACCCTGATTAAAGCACTTAATATCTGGTTTGCAATGGATAGAACACTTGAAATGGAGATAAAGGATTGTTAAGAAAATAGTGTCCAAGATCAAAATACTCAATGCCAGTACTTGAAGACAGTAGATAACTTACTGTAAAAGCCTTCTTTATTTCTTACTGCTTGATTCCAGAGTCATATTCAACAGAAAATATTACATGCATTGCCACCTGTAATCTCGAAGAGAAAGGTCTGCATATCTAACTCCACCCACGGAAAGACGATTGCACTGTTCCGGTCTATAATTAACAATTATAATCTGATTGTCTTCTTCCAAGTCGGTTATAACAACTATAGAAGCAGAGTTAAACAAATCAAGAGGCCCTGAAAAGTATTAATGGTCATTGAAAAAGTATGCTTTGTTCTTGTGAGAGAACTGAGAATTAGTCGGTTTTACATTCAAGATACTGCTATTGGCTTCTCACTCTAAAAGATACAAAGCATAAGTTACGCTGTTATCCTTCATCAGTACTCTGGACCCTTGTGCACGAATTTAATTGCTTCTCCTGTATTGAGGTAAATCAGTAACTTCACCTAACTGCACTGTCTGCCACACCACTTTGGCTGAAGAGACAGTTCAGCGGTCAAAGTGTACTTCCATTAGTCTGTCCGTGTAGATGCAGTCTGCATGTTTATGAAGGCAATTCTTTCCCAAAGCCAAACCAGGCAAAAAAAAAAAAAAAAAAAAGCAGCACTCTGAAAGTCTTCTGCTGTTATGTGTAACCACCAGTAAACACAGTAGAGTTGTTTCAATATCAAAACCAGTTCTTACAGAAATTATTATTTCTTCTACAAAACTTTAAATGAAGTATTTGGGTTTCTTCGTCCCGACACTGTATATCTGTTCTGTGTGTAGGTGTGTGTATTCGTGTGGATACATGCACAAGACCGAATGCATCACTGCTTTCCATTGTTCCTTGTAAATAGAATGAGCTTTGAAGTAAAAAACTCAAAAGTCAAATTAAACCCCAAACCATTTAAGTTTGAATAACAGCTCAAAAGAATCCATATGGCATGTAAAATTATCTCCATGAGGCAGTAATATCATCGTTTATTATAAAAAAGACCTATTACTTTAAGTAATTGCATCAACACTCCCAGAACTACTTTCTCTCCCCCAGAACAATGCTATCTGCAAAAGACCTGGCTCTTTTCCACAGATCAATAACACAAGCAATTGCACGAGTTCACATTAGTAATGTTATTTTTGTTTGAGACACTTAAGACTTTCACCTTACATCCACAATACACCACCCCTCTGCTAAACACACTAACCTGTAGGTATATAACCCCCCAAATCCTCAGTACAATTGTTAGTTGCCTGCACTCTAGGCCACTTCCAATAGCTGCTACAGGACACGTCCAGAAGAACTGTGAGAACAGGGGGTCAGATTCCCACCTTTTCTTCAAAAATCCCAGAACCCGCCCAGGTTGTTTCCTCAAGAGTCGCCAGGCATGTACAGCATTTCAGAGCTGTATCTGCAACAAAGGAAGACAGGTAGAAATGCTCCGCTCAACACAAGGAAGCATAACATTGTCCGCTTCCTCTTATGTAGTAACCAAAAATGCCAGAAATCCTTTTGGAAGCCAACGTGTTTGCAAACCTTTCTGGAAGTTTCCATTACTCGCTCTATTTATCCTCCATCAGGCAATGTGACAGATCACATCACCTGTCAAGCTCCAAAGAGAAAATGCAGAGAACAGATGACGAGTGTGCACTGTTGCTTCAGAGATGCTGTGCCTCATTCATACCGACTGTGCTAACACAGGCAAGAAACAACCATGACGCTTTTCTGTAAAGGCCCATTTCTCAATTAGCAAGCTCTGACCTGAAGGCTTAGGAAGGCAGCTGCTCTGAAAAGTTGAAAAGTTTTGAGCTTTGCCAAAATGGAGACGACAAATTTGCATTTGGCTTGGCCTGGTCTTTTAGGAGTAAATTAACAAACCGCCATAGTTGCCAGTCCTAAGAATTAACTATCGCATTGGACAGCCAAGATACCCAACTGTTATCCATCTTTGCTAGAAGACTATCATCTTCTGGCCGCACCACTTAATTTCATACTGGCATTAATAGATAAATGCCATCTCAGCTTTGTAAACCTGCCAAGGTAGAGCAGGCTGCAACAGCCGAATGCTACCTCCAGTGTATCAGTATGCTAACTGAAAATGGTTGCTTTTTGCAGGAAACTAGCTAACAGAAAAGGACGTGTTCCAGTCAGGGAATATCTAACAGATACTGCCCTAATTTACTTACTTTTAAGATCTACGTCAACAGCCACTCTGCTTATAGAGGGCTTCCAGAAAAGCTAAACTCAGCTTAAATACAACCTGAAGCTGTACCAGCTACTGAAATGGCTCAGAAAGTCAGCATCGTAAGATGCATTGAAAATAAAACCCTTTAACCTTTCCTGATTAAGACAAAAAAAGGCTAAC